AAACATGTTAAAATAAGGCAAGAGGATGGCAAAGCGGCGACAAGAACCATTGATACCTTATAGGTTTCATTTCAAAACTAAGAGTCTTTCAAAAAATTAAATTTAGGTTATATATTGGAGATAGCAGCCAAATTCGACATAATTGATTAACAGTTTCACACATTTAATCGTAATGGCTTTTTCCAATTAACTGAAGTCATGAAAGAAAGTAAAGATCGCCATGGTTTGACTGGCGTTCGTTTGCATAGCAAGTGTTATCGAATTGAGAAATTTCTACGATTTTTTCTGACTCGCATGGACAAGGACTAAAAAATCTTCATAAATTCAGCTTTTTTCTACGCAAAACGTTTTTACATGCGCATTGTCCTTTCCAAACTAAAAATCGAGTGACAATCCCTTTGAGTTATTTTAAAACCGCTTTAATGTCTTTTATTCAATGTTTTCATAGTCTATTTTTTAAAAGATATCTGTACCCTGAAGTGAGAGTAAATGGTAAAATGAAGTTTTTGATGTAAATGAGTACACACAAATTGATTTACCATCTTGCTCCAAGCAAAAATTAAGTTATTTCTATCTAAAAGGTAGATTTGTTTTTACTCGCGCTCTGATTGGTCCACTGATTGCGCAATATTTCACCGTCAAGCGACGGTTAGCCAGCATTTATTGCTCAAATATTGCTATAGATATGGCCTAAGTATATAGTAATTCAGGGTTTGTATTACTCCTTGAACGTCTTGAAATGCCCTGGAATTGAAAACATTTGAAAGGCCTCAAAAACCAGGAAAAATGCTAAAACTCGTGGCATACACCTTGAATTTGATGCAATCTATAACTGTTTTAACACTTTTGATTGAAATGTAAAGAGTGTATAATAAATTGTAATAAGAAACGTCCGGAAACTTCAAACGAGATCTTAAAAGATAGTTCTTGAAAATCGATTTGTGCTTTTTTTGTGGCAATAAAATTGATTCATGAGACAACATTTCGCATCTATTTGAAATTATGAATAAAAGTTGAAAGCTTTGTATATTGAGTATTTCAATTACGACACAAAGCTTTCAAATATGAGTCATTTCCAAGCGAGTTTGATCGTTTGACATGAAACATTATGCTTTGAGAATTAAAATTTAATGGGTCGCAACAATTGACAGAAACTGTTTTTATCACAACCACATTCAGCTCTCGTTGAGAGATACTCATGCTGGATGCCAGAGATTGGAATTTTATCTTTCCCTTAGGCCCGCTTCAGACGTCGATTTTTTTTCGAGTCTAATCTAATTGGTGGAGTTGAGTTTATCAGCATTTTGTACTCTGAATTTGTTCAATTTTGTTCAGTTGGACAAGTTTAAACTTACTATAATCTGTAAATATCAATCGATGTAGACTGCAAACTTCTTAAGAACTGCATTTTAGCAATTAGATTAGACGCGGCAAAAGATCGACGTCTGAAACGGGACTAGTTTGTTTTGAGGCACTGCGAAGCGCCATATTTAGAGATCTTAAACATGACGTTCACTGCAAACGGCAGAAAAGATCACGTGACCTGCTTTTTGAGGGTTTACCGTTACAGTTTCAAGGCGAGAGTGGGTTATTTTAGGGTTGCCATAATCGTGAAAAGTCGCTCTTTCAAATGACTACCAAAAGCACAAGGTCAGGCACGAAATTTTCATGTCTTTGGTTCAGCTCTGCCGTTAGTCGTTTGCCGTAAACGTGATGCTAAAACTCTCTATTGTAAACTATGAGAGAAGGTAAACTCCAACGTTTGGTAACCAGCGTAGGTCATACTGTAACGGTGCATTTTACATTTAAAGAGATGTTTGTAGGTTGGAATGGTACATTTTAGTTTGTTTATTTGTATTTTTAGGTGTTCCTATTTCTACTCCATGTACCACAATCAACAAAGTGTGTGCTTCAGGCATGAAGTCAATTATGATGGCAGCACAGAGCCTTCAGTGTGGCAGTCAAGTGAGTTTGAATGATTCCTCCATTCCATGTTATCTACAATAAATGATAAGTTAGGCTATGGGTTTCCTATGGTTTTGAGAATGACACTTAGAAAAGCCACAGGCAGTCCAGCAAAAAGTATTATGAAATATGTGCATTTCTTAGAGCACGAATAAGCTGTTATGTTAGCTCAATTCGATAGGAGAAATGCGAAATTCAAAAGAAGGTAGAAAGTTTTTAAGGGAAGTTTGGATATTTGTCTTCCTTTTGAAGTAGTGCCTTCTGATACCACACCATAGCACGACGCAACACTCTATCCGTCAACACCAAACATTGTGACATATTACCACCACTCCACACGTCTCTACAATACAATACACCACAGCACACAACAACACAGCACAGCACAACACAACACACCAAACTACCACTGAACACCAATCTGAGTCATATTACTCATGCAAAGTAATACGTCTCATCTCACATTACCTCACCACACAACAACAGCACACACCTCGATCAACTTCCAGTCAACACCAAAACATGTGTCATATTGCAAAATTCAACACCCACTCCACACTCATTCTATTATAACACGAAGGATGTCGAACTAGTCACAGAGGACCACAACACCGCAAAGCCCACTAGCTCAGCAAATATTTGTTTTTTTTCTTATAGGATGTTATGGTGGCTGGTGGAATGGAGAGCATGTCTAACGTACCATTTCTTGTTTCTCGTGAGGCGCCGACGTATGGCGGTCATTTAATGGAGGTATTGTTACATCACATAGAATGAACTCGTTAAAACCGTGAAATATGAACCTCGCGCTTTGGACCCAGCTTTGGGCCTCGCTTATTAATTCCCGCTAACCTTGACAAAAGAACAACAATTTCTTCATAAATTGTTTGTGCAGACGTCTTTGCTCTTTTTTTGATTGATTGATTGAATGATTGATTGATTGGTGGATTAATTGATTAATTTAATGAATAAATGATTGATTGAATAAATGATTGATCGAGTAATAGATTGATTGATTGATTGAATGATTGATTAATTATATAACAAAGACTTTGTTAAAATGTCTATCCAATCAGGGACTAATAAATTGATTGACTAATTGATTGATTGAATGATTGCTTGATTGATTTTTTTCTTGTCATTCTCTAGGATGCGATCGTAAAGGATGGCTTGTGGGATGTATACAATCAAATACATATGGTATGGTATACTTAGTGTGTTTTCGTTGTAGTCAAAACTTACAGGCTAGGCCAGGACAACGTACTTTCTTTAAATAGGCAAATATTGTTCCTGTGAAAAAAATTATATCACGACCGCATTGAATGCCGGTAGTTGATGGACCTTTAAGGTCTCTAACGACTCCATAATGCAACCGAACTCGATTCTTCTCCAGGGAAGTTGTGCAGAGAACACAGCTTCAAAGTACAACATCACGAGAGAGGAACAAGATGAGTACGCAGTCAGTTCCTATAAAAGGTCAGCGGCTGCATGGGATGTAAGTACTGTCTAACATTTTGGCAAAGGGCCTTTTCAGGTTAAAATAATTCATGAATTTTCTTTCAGGCTGGAAAGTTCAASAATGAAGTTGTTCCCGTGAATATTCCACAGAAAAAAGGTATAAGACGAAGAAATCAATCCTTTTATGATTTTAGCTAACAGTTCGACCCATTTTCTGATGTTTTACCTCGTTATTATTGAACAAAGATGCAATTATGAATTGTATTATATTCGTTACCGTAAGGATGATGATAGTGTTATATGATTGGATTACCTGTGTAATATCAAGGACATGCGCAGTAATTACAGTAAAAGGTTGATTCCACGTGCGAATCGTGTTTGGGTCTTTTCTTGACATTTTATCATACTTATTTCGAGATACAACAGATAGTTTACTCCACGATACATGCATCAGTATCAGAGGAAATCTTGGAAAGTGGGACTCGAATCACTAAGTTATAATTCAAACATGATAGATTTGTTGACTGAGCAACTACGAAATGTGTTCTAAGGCACAACATAGTCGGGTCTCACTTTTCAAGATGGCGGAATCATTGTTCTCCGGAACTCATGCATGTATTGTGGCAGTTAATGTACTTACTTTATCGAAACATAGTCTGGARGGACATCTACATGTATGCATTTTGTTATTTAGGTAAACCAGATGTCATCTTTCAAGAAGACGAAGAATTCCGCAAGGTCAATTTTGACAAGCTCAGCTCACTGAGGACAGTCTTCAAGAAAGATAATGGTAAGTAAATACTTGTCTTCTTCGTTCCCTTTTCGTAAGATCTATCATGGAAGCTATCCTGCTCTCCTTCTCTACTGTTCCAGCCTTTTTCGTGCACCTTCATGTAAAGCCATCAAGCAGTCGAATTACATCATTACATAACGCTTTCTCAACCATTCGTGAATTCGGAAGGTTTCACTAAGTCCGTCGTTGACTAGTGGTATTCTCCATATTCGCTCATTGTACAATTTTCTTTGAATTTTCAAAGTTCTCGTAGTTCTCCGATACCTTTCCATCTAGCCGTAATGATAAATTTCGCCTTTTGTCTGATTTCTGGCTCATTTTTCAAGTAATTCTCTTGTTTGCCTTCCAGCCTTAATGACGTATTTTGCCTTTGTCCGATTTCTGGATCATTTTTTTAAGTAATTCTCCTAAAATAAACGCAGAAGAGTCACTATGAAAATCCTTCCACTTTTTGAAAAACTACGCATGCTCATAATAAACATATTCTGAACGTATCCCACATGGCTTATTGCCTGAGTTCCTCTTTTCTAGGTACTGTAACTGCAGGTAATGCCAGTACTCTTAATGACGGAGCAGCANAAACGCTTTAAATTATCATAAGAATCAGAATTGTAATGGCAGAATATATCTTATTCAGTATCCTAATAAAAACCTCCAATGACCTCTTGACTACATAGTAATAGTTTGGAGTAGATAATACATTTTTGAATTTCCTGCGCTTGTGTTTTACATAGGTTTTACTAAAAACTTCCCGCTATAATCTCCCGCGAACAAAACAAAACAAGTTCGTATTCGTTTTATATTTTTGACTAGTTTGAGCATTACATAGTTCAATAAAAATCAAGCAAAGGCGTAAAAACGTTATTGAGTTTTCTGTTTCTTGTCTCGTCGACAGCACATCCAGCACATCAACCGAACTGTGTACTTTATCACCATAATCACCACCAAAACTATACCAAGACCAGGAACACTGCTACATCTACCAGGAAATACTGGTACCAGGCAAGTTGGGTGGAGTACGGACGTAGATGTGCAAGACTCTCGTGTCTAAGGGCGTGCTCTATCCAGTCACCAGCCTCCTTTTAACGTATCGTCACGATACACGCTCCGTCACAAAAGAAGGTTTGCCGTCCCAAAATGTAAGACTGAACGTTATAAGAATAGCTTTATTATAAGATCTTGTGTAAATTTTAATGAAAGTTAAAATCGAGAAATTTATATATAATTATATATATGAGTAGGGACAGCACAAAAGGAGGCTAAAGAATTAAGACCCTTTTGATGCAGCGAGTGAATTAATTGCGTCTTTTGGAAGACTGCATTTTCCAGCTAGACACAAGACCCCTTTTGTGATGTTCCCTTTTTCTTCAATTTACAGCTGTTTGCAATAATTCTGACCCCCTCTGCCATATTTCATATATATCAAACTGACCTTTAATATTATGGGATATCATGACTGATATATTTTTTGAGTTGTCCAGAATGAGTACTTTCTAAAAAAAATATCAGCANTCAATTTTGACAAGCTCAGCTCACTGAGGACAGTCTTCAAGAAAGATAATGGTAAGTAAATACTTGTCTTCTTCGTTCCCTTTTCGTAAGATCTATCATGGAAGCTATCCTGCTCTCCTTCTCTACTGTTCCAGCCTTTTTCGTGCACCTTCATGTAAAGCCATCAAGCAGTCGAATTACATCATTACATAACGCTTTCTCAACCATTCGTGAATTCGGAAGGTTTCACTAAGTCCGTCGTTGACTAGTGGTATTCTCCATATTCGCTCATTGTACAATTTTCTTTGAATTTTCAAAGTTCTCGTAGTTCTCCGATACCTTTCCATCTAGCCGTAATGATAAATTTCGCCTTTTGTCTGATTTCTGGCTCATTTTTCAAGTAATTCTCTTGTTTGCCTTCCAGCCTTAATGACGTATTTTGCCTTTGTCCGATTTCTGGATCATTTTTTTAAGTAATTCTCCTAAAATAAACGCAGAAGAGTCACTATGAAAATCCTTCCACTTTTTGAAAAACTACGCATGCTCATAATAAACATATTCTGAACGTATCCCACATGGCTTATTGCCTGAGTTCCTCTTTTCTAGGTACTGTAACTGCAGGTAATGCCAGTACTCTTAATGACGGAGCAGCAGCTTTAGTCTTGATGACAAGAGAAGCGGCGGAGAGACTCAATGTGGAACCACTAGCAAGTATCATAGGTAATGATAACATAGGCGGATCTTTGTTTACAAAATTTTCCTAATTAGCATAAAGTTTAAATTAAATAAAACGAAAAAAGTAAAAGGTCTTATTGAAAACTATAAACTACGAAAGTTTGATATCTTTACATGCAATAGTTTATGTATAGTTTAAAACACGAGAGAGAGTGTTTTATCAGGTACAAAGATTCGAGCCGAAGTCGAGAATCTTTATACCTGATAAAACACGATCTCGAGTGTTTTAAACGACTTAAAAAACTCCAACACTAATTTGAAACTCAAATCCGTTAAAATTCTTGGAGAAATTGCCGTACAAATATGTTCAGAGATAAATGGGGCAAACTGATCATGCGCGAATCACTTTACAAAGCACTCTTGTCATCCCACATTGAATACGCATAAAGTAAAATAAAAGCGCTCTTGGCTGTTCACTGAAATTGGTTGACATCCTGCATTGGTCAATGATCAGGTTTCAAAGCTGAGACCTTTGCTAGGGTCATGGACCTTTATATCTCATAAAGGTCACCCTTATTAGTATTCTTTATATAAAGAATACTAATAAGGAGTGTTTTATCAGATATAAAGGTCCATGCATGTGACCAAATAGGCTCATTCTATTGGCCTAGTAGCTCATTAATTATGTATGAGTTTTTTAAGAGATATTTGCGTTCAAAGATGCTGAGTGGCAAAAGCTCTAATTACCTCATATAATCTTTCTAAAAATTGGAGTTTTTAAAACCGCTCGACGCAAAACGTATTTCATATTGGAAGCTCAAAATTGCGTGGAAAGCTTATTGTGCCATGTTGTTTCAATATTCAGTGCTGATTTACTGATAGTTATGTTAAAACGTTATATCCTTATGCTAATGATATGTTAATGAACCGAAATGTAAACAAATTATTCGCCTATACTCAAACGTTCGCTTTGATTGGTGGAAGGAACAACGACAACTACAACAACAAAACACCGATACCACTTACTCTACTTACACTACAGCATATCATCTGAACTATGGCAATCCAATATCGGCCTCTACTTTTCTTTTATATCACAGGTTTTGCTGATGCATCTGTTGCACCCATTGATTTCCCAATTGCCCCTGCGGCAGCAATGCCAAAGGTAAACGTGACGTCACATTTGATATTACCAGAGTGCTTTGCCCTCTTTATTAAGTACATTTGCTTTTGTTTCAGCTTCTAAAACAAACACACCTTAAGAAGGAAGACATTTCAATGTGGGAGATCAATGAAGCTTTTAGTGCTGTTGCACTGGCAAACATCAAGGTACAGTGATGTACAGTACACGACTTTCAAAAATGGCGGTAGTTCAAGATCGCCAATATCGGGGGACTAGTGACGAATCATGAAAACGAGACCTCAAAGGCCTTACATCTAAAAACCATTATGAAGATCGCATGTATGTAGGTTCCAAAAGTCCTGAAAGATGTATTGGTATGTTATTTATAACAAAATACTCTTGCAAGACGCCATCGAAGTTTACTATACATAGGCTGGCCTTTGAGAGCTCGTTTTAGTGCTCAGCTTCGTCTCCAGTGCTCTGGTCGTTGACCGTGACATATCGCGCCATTTTGAAAGTCGTGAATAGTATTATTTTACCATGGTCCAAAATTATGGGATGATATTTAACCTTATTGTCCATCGGATAAATCCTTATCCAGCGGATAAAATCCATGTAAAATCTAAGGACTGCATAACTTTATCCGATGGACAACATTATCCGCCCTTCGCACATCCGGTACCAGGAGGTTTGGTGTGATTTGACAGAAAGAATAATATCAACATAATAAGTTGAAGACCCACGTAATGAAATTTAGTCAGCTATTTATTAGCAATAATAGTATTTGTTCTGAGGAAGTGAAGGTGTACTGACATTATAAATGAAATGCTCATTCCTTTTTGTTACTAGATAATGGACTTGGATCCCAGCAAAGTCAATATTCATGGAGGAGCTGTTTCCCTAGGGCATCCTATTGGGTAGAGATATTTTATTTTAGCACTATTTTTATACTATTAATTCTTTTGTTAAATAAGATAAATTTTTACATCGTTCAAAGTACGA